TGTTCCATATAGACGTTCAATATAGTCCACAAGTTGACTTACTAAATACTGATAACGTTGTATGTGTCAACAATAACAGATAAAGCAGACAACTGTAAAAATGACGTAAATCATAAATGTCTTAAGTTTAACAAATTGAAATGAATCTTCTTAAAAAGAATTATTTGGTTAGTTGCCTTTTATTTACATGCGTTTCAATTTATTTCTGACAGTATCACCGTATCACTAAATTTTGTGTAATTCATCCCAAAAGTAATTTCTGAATTTTTTTTATTATCTGTAAAAACAATTAATATACTGAGTGAAATGATATTTGTACTTATCTACACTAAATATTTATGTTGAAAAGTTGAAAGGTCACGCACTTTGGGTTTCAGTTTCTATGTTATAAGAAAATTTAAAGGTTACTTACTTGTTGACCTATTGCGTGTAACCAAATGAGTTCTCTAAAAAATTTTTAATTATTTTCACGTTGTACATTTACGTTGAATCTAAACGGAATAAAATTGGCATTCTCCCCCAGTTGAAACCATTGAAACACCAAAATCTGATATGCTTTGCTGGTGGTTTGGTTCTTTTTTCTCTCTCTTTTTTTTGTCTTTTACGACGCGATGTTAGTACTGATGTCAATATGAATGTAAATACTCTCTAAACAGAAACAGCAAGCTGGCTCTTTTACAACGGACCAAACATGAATCACTGCCCTTATATGAACAAAATGAAATGTTCCAGAACAAAATACATGTGCAGTATGACCTTTTTGGAGTCAGGTTTGCAATGGAAACACACACACACATCAAGCGATCAATTCGTTCATGATCTTTGCCGTCCTAAATCATTTATATGTGCTAGTTTAGAGGTAGGTCAGCCTGTACTTAGTCCGACCAGGCTCTATACTCAATTTTTGTATTTTGTATATGGAACTTCCTTAAATTTGGAATAGACTATTCCAAATGCAAAGCAGGCCATATTCATTACAAAAATTCAGTAAGTTAAGGGTTTATTATAACATGTACCAATGATTTTAATTACATGTAATCAATATATTATTATATGCAATACAGTAATTCGTGCATGTACTCGTAATACAGAATTTCTTAACACACTCTGAAAAGACTGGATATGCAATCAAAAGTTTATGTCTGTGAAATTTAATATTTATAAGCTGAAATAAGCTACCATGTACATGTAAATGATTTTGTTTTGTGAAGAAAATAAGTGAACTTCTTTTTCTCGTCTGTTTCAGGCTGTTCGGATAAGTTAGGTAACTGTGAGGCGTACGGTGCCGCTGTCTGTTCAAATTCGATGTATACCCGTTGGGTTAAACTGCAAGTCGTACTGCAACTTATGCTGTATGATTCTATTCTTTTGTTGGGTTTTTTTTATTTATATTTATATATTTTTTGAAAGAAAGTTTCACATTTATTTTTGATTTATATTGAGTTATGATGGATCTTATTTGCCGCTGGTTGATTTAGTTTGTAGCATATCAAAAACATTTGAATAATCGGATGATAGATTATCAGCAAAAAGTCTTGTACATTTAATCTCTCGGAAAAAAACGTTTATTTTCTGTCAAAAGTATTCTAATTTCGTCGCAATTAGTGTAGCTATGGGCAAATGTCTGCTCGAACAGATATTTGATATTAGACAAGAGCTTTTGAACAAAGCCATTTAAAAACACACACCGGGTATTTCATTTTAGGCAAAAACCTGAAAGTATCATTTTATGCCAGTAAGAATGAAATTTAACTGTGTGGAAACCTTTGTAAACCTTTTAAAGTTTTTTCGACGTAAGAATGTAAAATTATCGCAAACTTATGCGAGTTTCATATTGGTATGTATTGTTTTTAACATTATTCACAGCAAGTGGAGGCGGGAGTTTGACACCACCACAGCCAGAACCCATCCCACCGTGGGTAAGCAACTTTGGTCACGTGACCACAAAAGTCAACGTACACGGCCAAAAGAGCTCGGCTGAGGTAAGTTTTTTAGTGATTATTTTTCTATCGAGCCAATTCAAATTATGTTACATAGCCTACCGACCGCGGCAGTTCCGATGCTTTCTAAAAATGTATTTGATGTCGTCCAACGTTTTGTATTTTATGAGATCATTCAAACAATGTTTGCAAATTGTCGATGACAACGTACACACTTTTGTGTAAAAGTGTTGATAATAACTTAATAAACGATACGCATGTCAGTGCTAAGTAAAATTTCAGGTCTTAAAATATATAAAAGAATGTTTTAATGAAAAAATAACTGGTTTCCTGCTGTCATTTTTGTATTTATTTAAAAATTGACCAACTTACAGAAATGTCAACGTACACATACAGTCTAGAAAGTGTCAACGTACACACTCCCAATTTAGTTTGATAGTGGTCTGATAGTGGCTGCAACTTCGAAATATGTGGCTTTTTCCAACAAAAAGTTGGCTTTCAATTTAGATTGCCCTCTCAAACTGTATATAATTACTATTATTTTTACAAAGGAAATAGTTTGGAGTGCATTCATTTCATCGCAAATAAGCTTAAACGACCTTTAACTTTTTATGTTATTTATTTGTACTTTTGTTTTTTTTAGTAGACAAATTTCCAGTAACTCAAACTGCTTAATGATTAGCTGAAACGGCCGTTTTTATATTTTATACTGGATTAATATAGATCGTATTACAATATAGATTGTAATTACAGTCATCTTAATAACGTTAACAGCCAGGATAAGGGTATCTTGCTCAACCAACTAGTGCCTTCCGTAGCAGCAAAAGGGTCCAAGGTTGACGATGACGCCGAGTTACAATTTTATATTACCGGTTTTTCAGCAGTTGCGTCACTTGATCCCCCACTAATGTTCTATTAACATTATATTTTCAAGAATATATCTACTTGCACTTGTTATGCAAAAAATAACTTATAAACAATTCACAATTTTATAGGTTGGTTAAGGCAACAAATTATACCCTTTTGTTAAATGGTTAGTTACTAAGTTACTAGTATATTGCTTTTACTGCTCAAGAAACCAGTTACTGGAAAATGGTTACTACTCGTAGTAATAAATTTACCGGAAAATGGGTTTAGTAATGAATTTACCTATCTTATTTTGTGCGCAATGTATGAGCTATAGATATGAATCAATGACATTGTTTAAACATTTAAAAAGTTATATCAAGTACCACAGTCATATGACCCACTAGTAATCATAGAAATGCCACAATATATATTGAAATGATTGTCACAATGCAGAAATTTTATCGACATTTTGCTCAAATAAATTTTTTTAATGGTTTGCTTGAATTTAAAATTTTGATTGCAATGCATTAAAATGTATGGCACTTGATAGCCTGGGATTCAGGCGTTGATATTTTTTTATTTACTCATAACTTACGCGCTATTTCATACTCGATCATCATAGATAACACAACATCTCTGGTTTTGATAGTATTTGATAGATTTGCCGAACAGAAGCACATAAAAAATCGACAGACTGGAACCCAGGCTAGGCACTTGAGCATTTTTGTTGAATACATATATTAGACTTGTAAATTAGCAGACATGGTTGGCAAAATTGTCAGTGAAACAAAAAGGGCAAAGAAAACTGTGAATGCAAAAATACATATCACGTCTATTTAGCTAGCCCATGTATTAAATAACAATGTTAATTACATGTGGCAATTACATAACTAGTGCAAGGAGATATATTATTGAAAATATAATGTTAATAGAACGTTCGTGATGTAATCATAGGGTGAAAGTGACATAACTGCTGAAATACCGGTAATACCTATAAACTAGTCACTCGGCGTCATTGTCAACCATTGGCACAACTTTTGTTGCTACAGAAGGCACTAGGTTGGTTGAGCAAGAGACGCTTATCCTGGCTGTTTTTTATGTTATTAAATGACTGTAAAATGATCTAAATTAATACACTATAAAATTTCTGTTTCAGCAAATCATTAAGCAGTTTGAGTAACTGGATTTTTTTCTTCTAAAAGAAAATCACAAAAGAACAAATAAATAACATTATAAACAAGTTAAAGGTTGTTTAATCTTATTTGTGATGATATGAATGTACTTGCAACTTTTTTCCTTTGTATAAACCTGTTTGAGAGCGCAATCTAAATTGAAAGCCAACTTTTTGTTAGAAAAAGCCACATATTTCGAAGTTGCAGCCTCATGTTCAGACCACTATCAAACTAAATTGGGAGTGTGTACGTTGACACTTTCTAGACTGTATGTGTACGTTGACATTTCTGTAAGTTGGTCAATTTTTAAATAAATGCAAAAAATGACAGCAGCAAACCAGTTATTTTTTCATTAAAACATTCTCTTATATATTTTAAGACCTGAAATTTTACTTAGAACTGACATGCGTATCGTTTATTAAGTTATTATTGACACTTTTACACAAAAGTGTGTACGTTGTCATCGACAATTTGCAAATATTGTTTGAATGTTCTCATAAAATACAAAACGTTAGACGAAACTAAATACATTTTTAGAAAGCATCGGAACTGCCGCGGTCGGTAGGCTATGTAACATAATTTAAATCGGCTGGACAGAAAAATAATCACTAAAAAACTTACCTCAGCCGAGCTCTTTTGGCCGTGTACGTTGACTTTTGTGGTCACATGACCAAAGTTGCTTACCCACGGTGCATCCATTCTTCCGGTAAACTAAAACGATATGATTACCGGGAAGTAGATGCTATATAGGAAGAGTTTATTTGGCCATTTAATAGTTTAATGTAGTTTTTAAACACCTACTCTCACTAAGGCGGCTTCAGACGGAAATTGACTTTTTAGCAGCAATCATGTTCTCCTCTAGATTTGAGAGTAATGCCGGCGATTTTCATTTTCGTTCGAGATAACCGGTGTTGCGTAATATATCTCTGTCTATGAGAATCAGCAATTTTCCGTTTCCGGTTGTGGAAAGCTCGCGTGCGGTATTGAAACATCTAAATATCTTAACATACATATTGTGTTTGTGTAAATTATGACACACATGAAAATTGTTGTAATACTTTTTCAGGAGGATGTTCCGATAAATTATCCAACTGTAACCAGTACGACCCCTCGGCTTGTCAAAATTACGCACAATGGGCGAAAGATAACTGCGCACGGACATGCAATTTGTGCTGTAAGGTTTCTATGTTTGAACTAACTACTTCCTCATTCGAAATGATTGATAAGTACCACGTGCATTTTAACCAGTTCATACATTTTTATCTCTCAATAAGGTAGTATAGCAAGAGTAACGAAACAATTAAGGAAGGCGGTCATGTAAACGTATTGACCTAAAATAAATGAGTAATTTATCAAAATTTTAAAAAAAGTTCAAGTTAGGCTAAAGTTTAAATAATTTTATATATCTGAAGTGGCACTGGTATAGTAAGAAAGTTTAAAAAAATATTGATAATACTATAATAACTGGTTAAGAAGCAATTACCAAAGCTCGATAGTTATACAGTAGTTATACCAATGTGTCCCTCAATGCCGCTAAATCGCAAAACAGTTTTATAAACTTGAAATCTGCTTAGAGTCAAAGGTCACAAAAAGTCTTAATAGCATACCACTAAATGTAAAACATTAAATAATATAATAAAAAACGAATGATCCGATTACAGTTTCTACGTCATTAATGATCATGTTTTTTTATATAGCAAGCGGATCCACAGGAGGTGGTGCCATGTCGGGTGGTTCCGGTGGTTCGAGTGGTTCAATAACTGGTACCTCGTCAGGTAAATTTACAAGCAGATCTAAAATGAGCCGCGTCACGACAAAACCAACGTAATGCGTTTGCGACCAGCAAGGATCCATCCCTGCGCAGGCTGGTCTGGATCCATGTTGGTCGCAAACGCAGTTAGTTACATATCTTAACGCCACAGTTACTGAACTATAGTCTGTGACCTACCGAAAAATTATAAATAAATATAACGCCATCTGCTGTAAAAAATAGAGTAAAAAGGCACATAAAGATCAATTTTGATACGTTAACGCGAAGCATTATTTTAAATTCATAAAAAAACAACAATCCCATGCACTGAAATAAGTGCAACAAACTTGTGATACTATTTTCAGTCTATACGAATGACTTAAAAATTCAGCTATAGCAATCTTTAATTTCAGTTTCAATTAAAAGTGTGTTTTATTGTATGGAAACAGTAGTGAGTTGAGAGTTATTCAGTTTTTAGACCATACGGGCGATTACTTTATCCATGTTACGGAAGATGACGAATTATGCCGAAATTGCACGAGATAACGCAACATCTCGCAGACTACCAGGACTCCTTATTCGAAGATTGGCAAAAAGTTGCAATTGCTGACTTTTAACGTACACAAAAAAACAATTATAAAAAAATTCATTTTGATCTTATTCAAAGGCTTTTTAGCCGAGTACTAGTATAATATTGAAATGTTTAATATCAAAATTATGAATTACAGGATGTGTATACAATGGCCAGATTTACAAACAAGGCCAAACATGGAAAGACAACTGCAAATATAAGTGTGAATGTGTGGATGGAAATTTGGGAAAATATCAGTGTCGTCAGCTGTAAGTTTAAACCTTTTTTTAATAAATAGCTTATTTTTTTCATTTCTTATCTTGGAGTCATTATTTCCATGGCATGGTGTTTTAGGCATTGTACATGTGTTAAAATAATCGTCTTAAAAATAATCATCCTAAACCTTAAATGAGTCTAGGAGAAAAGGTTGAAGTTCCGAGGTCTTCATCACAATGCAGATGAAACCTCACATTGTATTAGTTAAGTGAACATGCTGACCTCGCTAGGATAGGTAAACCGGTGTAGAATTTAAAGCCCGCAGAAAAAACCACTTATACGGTATATACAAATATTATTTTTGCAGTTGTCTCAATTGGAACTTACCTTCATCATGCTATATTGACCCTGCTCCACCAGGCAAATGTTGCCCCACCCCAGCTTGTCCACCTACAATCACACTTCAATATCCACCTGGTTATGTTGCAGAGTGAAAAACTTCATCTTTGGATGTTGAGAATAATTGTTTGTTTAAAGGATTACTTATAATAAAAAGGAAAACAAAACTTGCGTTTTTATTTTTATTTTACATGCTGTATTCTTTGGTAAGCCGTTTTACCCAAACCTGCTAAACTAGTATAAAGTTTACTCCACTTTGAATTTTGAATGTCCTCCTGAAAGTTAAAAGTATTTAAACAACAAAATTACCAATAGTATACAGCCTGACCCGGATGTAAGAAGTTCTCGAATCTCAGAATTTTCATTGGTTAAATGTACATGCTATGCCAGATTCAGGCTAATCAAATACCTGCGTTTGAGCTTAGAAAATATCTTTATAATCTGTGATGCACAGATGTGCAGCATGGCCTAGATTTATACTGGTGGCAATAGTGAATAACTTTCAATTCCAGCAGGTTAAAGAACAGCAGTCATGTTATTTGGGACACTCAGAGTTTGTCCATATCAAAAAGTAGTACATTAAACTCTGAACATTTGACTCATTTCACAAGCATTGAACCTGTGTCAGACATAACGGAACTCCAATGAGGTCCAAAAGCCTAAAAAATAAAATTTGAATTTCTAACATAGATCAGCCAGGGCACTATAAAGTAAGGAATTAATTGAAACTATTAGTTTGTGCTATTCTTAGCCCGATTTGAGTGAAAAGCATTGCAACGATTTCAATTTTGGATCATTTTTCACAATTAGAATAATTATTCTGGAAAAATGAAGTGCGCCAATGATCTAAATATTTGCACACAAGTTATTGGTCTTGACATACATCAAATGGAATATTAATTTTGAAAAGTATTTCCAGTCATGTCATGTCAAAAAAAAAAAAAAAACTCAGTGGAGTCCCTTTTATTCTAGATGTTCTAATAATGTCATTGTTCGAACTTAAAATGAATGAAATTAAAACTTGTAGTTCCAAATTGAAAACAGAAAAAGTCCATTGTTGAGTGTTATAACTTAACCATTAGATTTTCTAAATGAGAAATGCGCATGTTCTAAAGATATTAAATCAGCAACAAAGTTATGGTAAAATTTTCTCGAATTAGAAATTGACCTAGACAGTAAAGGTCATCTAAGGGACAACGTCAAGTTTCAAAACAATGACAGTGCTCCCTCTACTCGATCTATTGGTACCAGTGCATAAAATCGTGCATAAAATCAGAATGGAAAGCACTAAAAAAAACTTTATCAAGGAACTGATAAGATAATGTCGCTTTCTTTTACTTAGTTAATCACGTGCAACGAGTCTTAGCGTTTGGTTAGTTTATCATAACAAATCAGTTTCATTAAACATAAATCGGCTTAATGGTAACCATGACCTAGTGTGTAAGATTTCTTTATCTCAATCCATGGGTAGTAAGTTCGAGACTTACAGTTGCACGATCATGTTTCCACATACAAAACCAGGACTGATGAGGTACAGGAAACGGTTCCGGGGTAGATATTTAAAGTTTGAACTCTGTTATTGCAATGGAACTCAAATTAATACACTTGTATCTTTACGTTGTAAGTGCTAATAATGGAATTATCCTGTTTTAAATGTTGGCATGTCCAAGCTGCTTATTTCATTTTATTTCTCTAAATTCTGGAAAGATCATTGAAAATAATAGTAAAAGATATTTAACAATAACTCCCTCCCCCGCTGCACCGGCATGAGCGATATTCAATTATGAACACTAAAAGCACTAAAAGCATTGTTTATAAATGTCCTTAAGAACCACAAGAAAATAAAAACACTTAACTTTAAATATAATTTCGGATTAAGGTATTTATGAAAGATAATGAAATATAACGCCTTTGTACGAAAGGCCGGTGAGTCCATTTTATCATCAAGAATTTACAATTTTAACTTCGAGAATTCACGTTTTCAACATACGGAATTCACGAATTCAATATTTTAAATTCAAGATTTCAATTTCATGTATTGGTATTCACAACTTCAACTTCAAGAATTAACGATTTAAACTGTAATTTGTAACTTTAGGATACGAAAGAGCGATGGTGATATTTCAGCTTCTGGAATTATCGGGTTCATCTTCACAAATTCAAGTCTTCAACTTCACGAAATCACAATTTCAACTGCACGAAGTCACAATTTCAACTTAATGAATTCATATTTTGAACTTCACGATTTCAACTTCATTTATTTAAGATTTCGTCTTCACGAAGTTGAAATCGTGCAACCACGTTAATCCCAGAAGAGGAACCCGAGAATTCAAAAAATTGAAATGTCACCACCGGTCTTTCGTACAATAGAGTTACAAATTACGTAATCTTTACGTCTTACACGATAGTGTGCAAAGGTCAAATTTCATAAGAGCAAAGGTTATCATCAACTTCGGATATATTCTCTTCCACTTTCCTGTTACTTGCAAGAGATAGCAAAATGCAGACGACTTTAGTTTTTATTTTGAGTATCGGACTTGTTTCGTCCCTGCTGAGAGGCGTTGAGTCAAGGGGCATTGATAAAAGATTTATTCGTTCTTTTGTGTCAGGTAATGTTTTTTGGTGTATTCCTTCATACTTCTTTCAAGAGTAGTATTTTGTAATTGTTTGTTAATTGCTGCTCATTCTCGAACCTGAGATGTTTGGGTTTTTTTATCCTGAAGCTGATTTCATATTGTGCGGTTATTGACTAATGCTGTCCCGGTCACGTGTCCACAACAGAGAAAAAGAAATCTGGACTCAGATCAGGATTTAGAAACTTTTTTCCAATGCTTATGACCATATGTTTTTATTCTATTTTAACTAAATAAGATATGTACTGAAGTGGACTGGAAATGACATAGAATTGTGAAACTATATACTGTAAAAATGCATGGTTTGTTTTCAAGAAATTCAACAATTTTAATCGCGTTCTCTAAAAATTACTGTAGTTTTAATCCAATTTTTAGATTTAATGTCAAAATGTTTTAATGATTAGTTAACTAATACATGTATAACTTTTGTTTTAATCCTGATCCTGATTTTTTAACATTTTATTTTATTTTTTATTATCATTATTATTATCATTATTATTATAATTATTATTATCATCATCATCATCATCATTCTCATATTATTATTATTATTATTATTATTATTATTATTATTATTATTATTACTATTATTATTATTATTATTATAATTATTATTATTATAATTATTTTGTCTATCTGAACACACTGTCATATAGCATTAGAACAAAATCGGCCGCTAAATTAATCGAAATTAAAGCAGCATGCATCCAGATTCATACTTATTTTCATGAAAATTTTGAAAATCAATTTCAAAGTGAAATATTACGAAGAGAACAAAGAAAGTAATTTTACACATTGCAAACGGTACAAACAATGCATGTTAGTTACAAAAAAAAAGAGGTCAAAAGTATACATAAATCTTCCT